CCAGGCCAGATACTAACACAATTTTCATTATAAGAACTTTAATATTTATATAAAGTACAATTCTTGCATTAGGAAATAAAAACAGTCTCATACAAGCTCCGTTTCGGCCCGTTTTCGTGTTCTTATGAACCGCTCTTCCTCATCGAGCTGGAGCGAAGGACCAACATAACGGTTCTCGCCCGGTGACGCGCTAGTCGTGGATCTTCATTTCGGTTTCCGTCACACCCGGGGAGTATCCCGCTCTGCTAAGGGATCCCGAGAGCCAAAACTAGTGTGACCACCCTTTTGCGAAGTTGAAATCGAAATCGAAGTTCTTGGTGCGATTAGTAGAACCAACAAACAGGTGGCCTCTATCAACCTTTCCCACGTGACCACACCGTATAAGATAACAAATTAATCTGCTGAAGAGTGACGTCACTTTTATGGGGGGTACATCCCTTTGTGAAAATAACACTATATTGCTGGGCAAAACAAACAAATACTCCTCTCTTGCAGGTAGGACGGGGTAGCTAAAACTTTTCAAATGTCAGCACAAAAAACTATATATATATATATATATATATATATATTATATATATATATATATATATATATATATATATTTTTTTTTTTTTTTTTTTTTTTTTTTTTTTTTTTTTTTTTTTTTTTTTTTTTTTTTTTTTACACTACCCCATAATATGAAGTAACGTCCCTCATGCTGCATGATGCCCAACCGAAATTCAGCCTTTAATATACGACAAATACAACATACTACAATTAGGTCAGTACGATTTATTAATAACCTATCAACGGCACAATTCATTCAGGAACGTAACAGACGATGCAGGGCAAGCGAAGACAAGAACACGGAAGCGGGAGTATGTCAGGGCAGATAGGGTCATGACACACTTGAAATGTAAACAGTGATAACGGCACGGTTGCAACCCACTTAGATTCCGTGTACAGATAAACAATATCACATTTAATATCAGCTGGGTATAATTTACGGTGAAAATAATAAACCAACTCGTGCAGTCAGTTCCGAACATGGTGTTTGTGCATTCGAAACTCGTCAACGTGTAACAAAATTCGCTGTGTTGTGTCGGCAATACGAATGTTATCGCAAATTTAAGATGCTCGTAGGACCGCGGCTTCAGAGAGCGCTTAGGATACCCCCCCCCCCCCCGTAATCTTATCTGCTGTATGAATCCAAAGACAAAGGGATTAATTCATGATCATCTGGTACCGAGATGCCCAACACCTTGCGTTTACACACACACACACACACACACACACACACACACACCACACACACACACACACACACACACACACACACACACACACACACACACACACACACACACACACACACAGAGGGACAGGGAGGGAGGGAGGGAGGAGAGGAGAGGGAGAGAGAGAGAGAGAGAGAGAGAGAGAGAGAGAGAGAGAGAGAGAGAGAGAGAGAGAGAGAGAGAGAGAGAGAGAGAGGAGAGAGAGAGAGAGAGAGAGATTGAGAGAAGGGAGGAGATAGAGAGTGAGAGTGAGACGGGGGAAAGGGAGCTAGATAGATACAGAGAGGGGGAGAAAGATATAGATAGAGAGGGAGAGAAAGAGAGAGAGAGGAGGTGGGAAAGAGATAGAGAGAGTGGGCGAAAGAAATAGAGAGAGGGGGAGAAATAGAAAGAGGGGAAGATATAAACAGAGAGAAGGAGAGAAAGTGAGGAGGAAGAGATAGATAGAGAGGGAGAGAGAGAGAGAGAGAGAGAGAGAGAGAGAGAGAGAGAGAGAGAGAGAGAGACAGAGACAGACAGACAGAGACAGACAGACAGACAGAGACAGAGACAGACAGACAGGAGACAGACAGACAGAGACTTAAACGTACATAGAGACAGGGGTAGGCAGGCAAGGGCAGAGGCAGAGATTTTAAATAGATATAAAGACTGAGACAGAGATAGACATAGATATTGAGACAGCCATAGATAGAGAGATAGAGACGGAGATAGAGATAGAGAGCCAGAGATAGAGATAGAATAGAGACAGAGATAGATATGAGATAGATATTAGAAGAGATAGATATAGAGACAGATAGATATATAGAGATAGATATAGAGACAGAGATAGAGAGATATATGAGATAGGAGACAGAGATAGAGATAGATTGAGATAGATATAGAGACAGAGATAGAGATAGATATAGAGACAGAGATAGATATAGAGACAGAGATAGAGATAGAGATAGATATAGAGACAGAGATAGAGATAGATATATAGACAGAGATAGATATAGAGACAGAGATAGAAATAGATATATAGAAAGAGAGATAGGACAGAGATATAGAGATAGATAGACAGAGATAGATATAGAGACAGAGATAGATAGATATATAGACAGAGATAGATAGATATAGAGACAGAGATAGATATAGAGACAGAGATAGAGATAGATATATAGATAGATATAGAGACAGAGGATAGAGATATATAGAGACAGAGATAGAGATAGATATAGATATAGAGACAGAGATAGAGATAGATATATAGACAGAGATAGATATATAGACAGAGATAGAGATAGATATAGAAACGGACAGAGACAGATAAAGGTAGACAGGAACAGATCTAAAGACAGAGATAGACATAGAGGCATAGACAGAAAGAGACAGATAAAGGTAGACAGGGACAGAACAGCTCTAAAGATAGAGATAGACATAGAGGCATAGACAGAAAGAGACAGATAAAGGTAGACAGGAACAGATCTAAAGATAGAGATAGACATAGAGGCATAGACAGATAAAGGTAGACAGGAACAGATCTAAAGACAGAGATAGACATAGAGGCATAGACAGAAGACAGGATCATAGACATCATAGACAGATAAAGGTAGACAGAACAGAAGATAGAGATAGACATAGAGGCATAGAGAGATAAAGGTAGACAGGAACAGATCTAAAGACAGAGATAGACATAGAGGCATAGACAGAAAGAGACGGAAACAGACACAGTGACCGAATGCTACATGAGAGACCGGGCAGCGCGGGGAGAGCCGAGACAAAGCAGACGGCGCCTGCAGCTCGCGGACACTCCAGCGCCTTCAGCCGCTCCTGTCACCTGACCTTGAGTAATGACACCTTCCTTAGGTGCTCGACGGTGAACCACAGTGAGTCGCCATGACGTTCTGTCACGCAATCTGGCAGAGACATTCGCGGACTTCGAGTCACGATTATGATGTTAAAAATGAAATATATATTTGTTCTATGTTATCAGGACAGCACCTTCGCTCCCCATCCTCGCAATGTCGAATAAACACAAGAAGACTTTGCTTCAGGCACAGTAATAGTTTCTCCCTGACCTTGACTTGCCTTGAGTTCACACGCTGTCCCATCTCCCTAACCCTTTTCTATGTTCAGCGTCTTTCCCCCTGCTCTGACTGCAGGCCGTCGACAAGCACTACTATTCCTGCTGTTGCTACTAGTACTACTACTATTGCCGCAACGACTATTATCAATCTACCTCATCATGTCACAATAAGCATTAAAGCTACTACAACCGTAACTCTGCTGTCACGGGCTCCGTTACAACAATGAGAAATATCACTCGCCATTATCGTGACGAGCGCGACCGCCGTCTGAGGGCGTGGGACCCTTTAAAACAACTCTTGGCGGCCGTCCAAGGGGCGATTGCTCAATTCTGGTTGCGGTGTCAGCTGTGATATTATGAATAATATTGAAATACTTGTGCATCTATAACGAGAGGATTCGCTTGAGGAATGCTTCCGTCAGGAGGTGCAAGATCGCTGCCGGCTGATAAAAAGACGCAGGGGAAGCGTAGCAAAAGGATTCATTTCTGCTGCCGTGGTTTTCTTCTTTTTATCTGTATTCTATACTTCTGTTCATGTGTTCTCATTTATCATTTTTATTTTTATTTCTATTTTTGGCCAAGATTTCAGTTTTTCCCATAACCTATCCTTGGCATGAGGAAACGTATCACTAATCAGACCCTGGTTGATCGGATTCGAACAAAGGACCAAAGCAGCACCAGTCGCAGACCCTTAGCAGGTGGCATTCGACGCGGCCTGGGGTCACACATCCTCACAACCTCCGACTTAATGATATATCGATTTCTTATCCTTTTTTGGAGTCACGGAATAATGTGTTTGTGGAGGTCATGGAGGTCAAGGTCAAGGGGCGCAAAGGCTGGGTGGGAAGGAGCGGCGGCGGCGGCGAGGGAGCCGGCCGAAGGGAGGCGGGAAATCCTGAGAAGGGAGAGTGCGGGCTGTACGATGATGCTACGCGCGGAGGTCATCGCTCGTGTCGCCGGGGTCCCTGTGGGCGAACGGGGGAGAGGCAGAGACGAATAAACACGGGGAATGGGGGAGAGTGAAAGATGGAGATCTGGGAGGGCGAGGGAGGCAAACAAACCCGGGGGGGGGGGGGGGGGGCGAATTGCTGTGTGACAAAGATTATTGGGATAAAAATCTAGGCAAAAAAGGAGGGAATTCGAGGGAAAGAAATGGCAGGTGTGCGGGGAGAAGTGGCTTTGGAGTTGGATTAATTTGACTATCAAGTGGAGACAAGAAGCGCAGCAGGATTGGACATAAAATTAAGGAGACTTAAAAACACATTCATATAAACAAGACGATGTTGTCGAGATAATGGAGGAAAGAAGAGAGCAACACAGGAAGGCATGATATGAGGAGAGTAAAGAATACTTACGCCTTAAGGTGAGGGGTGAGGAGGGTCTGAGATAATGACATAGAGGGGAGAAGCAGACGCGGCCAGGATGTACTTAAGGTAGCCCGGATGTGCTGTTTACTTTTTCCACCTAATAAGCCCAACATCAGATTCGGTTAGTGACCCAGGTAATCGGAGGACCTCGTTGTTAATTCATCAAATTTTGGCTGGATCTAGATTGCGCTGTCTCTTCGTCTTCCCCTTTCGCATGCGACTGGTGTTACGCCACCTTACAAGAGGATTCACCTTCGTCGTGACACGAGGGGTTTTCTTTCTACTATCAATATAGTATTTGATTTGTTCGCGTGCGTTATGAATTGATGTGGGACCAAAACATAAGGCTTGTCATAATTAAATATGACGTTTATGTGTCACCAGCCTGGCTTGACAAAAACGAGGACAGCGATTATCAGGACAGCCGACAAGGACGCGGGTACATGCGGCGGGCGGAGAGAGCAGGAGGCGGTGCCCGTCCTGCCGCTCCTCAGTCTTGGACCGCCATCCCGACCCTCAACATGGCGCTTCTGACGCTCCTGCTGCTTCATGCCGCCTTCGCCCAGGAATGGAGCCCGCCCATCCCGCCCCTCTCGGAACAGTCGTTCGAAATTGTGGCAGTTCCGCAATTCCCGGACGCGACGGATTCCATCGGCACCATCATCGCCACGGAATTTGAGAGGCAGGTGCCCGTGCTGACGAACAGCCTGCGAGGGGAGGTCTCCTCCATCAGGACCGACATACGGCAGCAGTTCGACTCGCTGAGGAGGCACATGGACACCAAGCTGGACAGGATGCAGCGCGACGCGCCCAACGACGACGACGACGACGAGGAGAGTTCGAGTCTGGGCAAGGTGAGCGCCGCGCACACCGCCACCGCCAACATCCGTCACAACTTGGCCATGGCCGAGCTAAGGCGTCTGGGCGCGGACCTCACGAAGGCCATGAATGAGGAGGTCGGAAAGCTGCGCGAGGAGTTCCGCGCGTCGCTCGACCAGCTCAGCATGCAGGTGCAGAATGCGACGAACGACCTGGCAGAGCAGCTCCAGGAGGAGTTCGCGGTGAAGGCCGACGAAAGCACCAACATGCTGAAGAAGGTATTCTTCCTCACCCGCAACCAGATGGCGCTGATCCAGTCCCAGCTGATCAACATCAGCAAGTCGCTCAGCAGCCCCAACACGGCGCCGAGTGTTCAGAAACCCGTGGTGAAGCCGCTGTCCACTTCTCCCGCTCCTCCGACAGCCATGACGACGGAGGAAATCATTGCGACAACCGAGGTAAACTTTTTCATGATCTCTGGATGAAACAGAAATCTGATTATTCGTATGTCCGTTTTTGTGTAATATTGGTGGATAAGTTTTAAAGATCCACTTTTTAATAATTTCTATAAACCCTATTTCCGCTATCATCCTCCTTAACCAATGACTCCTCGTCCTGTTCCATGACCTCTCAAGTTCCCACTCATTTGTCAAGGGACTCAAGTCCTTAGTGTCTCCGAGGTTCACAGTGCCCTTTGCATCCTCACGGCAGATTGAAGAGCTGCCCCGGGATTGCTACGATGCGCTGGAGAAGGGCAACGCCGTGTCAGGTCTGACGACGATCCAGCCCAATGAGGACATGGATCCCCAGGTATTGCGCATTTTCTGTCGTTCTCTCTTTTACTTCGCCATTGCATCATTACAAGGGACTAAAGCATCTTAGAATACACTTGAAGGGAAACGTAGTCTTGCCGTCGTCCCCGCAGGTCGTGTGGTGCGACCAGGAGACCGACGGCGGCGGCTGGACGGTGAT